GAGACTCCAACTCAAAAAAAAAAAAGAAAAGTTTGTGTGTAATCCTAGCACGTTGGGAGGCCGAGACAAGTGGATTGCCTGAGCCCCCGCGTTTGACACCAGCCTGGGCAACTTGGCGAGACCTCATCTCTACAATAAATAAAAAATTAGCCGGGTGTGGTAGCGCGCGTATATAGTTCCAGCTACTTGGAAGGCTGAGGTGGAGGAGCTGGAGCCCAGCAGGTCAATGCTTGTGTGGCTATGAGTGTGCCACTTCACTCCCGCCTGGGCAACAGAGTGAGACTCCAACTAAAAAATAAATAAAGATTGTGGAACCAACAAGAAAAAGTGTCCCTGGTTTTCTATACCTTTTTGTTAGTACAATAATGGAGAAATTCACTCCTTGAAAACCGTGACAATGAAAGCTTTTGCCTATCACAGCAAGTTTACATGTATGTGTGTCTACTGCATTAGCAGTTATTTTCTCAGTGGTACTCTTAATTCCTGTAGGGACTGAATCATTAGCTGTAGTCAGTGTCTTTCTGGAGCAATAATGCCAATATAGTGATGTTTCATCAACACCGAAGTCGTATTTTCATCAGCCATGACCTGGAAAAACTCATCAATGAATTTATCTGCTGCTTTGTGATCAGTAGATGCTTTCTCACCACAAATCTTTAAAAAATGTAATGTCTTGTCTTGTAAAAAATTTCTGCAGTCAGTCTGTTAAATATTTAGTTCCTTTCGATCTTTGGTTCATCACAATATGTCTTTGCTCATTTCATGATCAGCATACCATTAAACATGTGTTCACTGAAACATTGATGGGTTCACTCAATACACAATCGAGATCTTCATTTTTAACCTTATGCAGTGTTTTTTCTAGTTTTCATTGGTTTCTTCAACAATTCATCCCTCTGTTTCTTCAGATCATACACGGCAGTCATTTGATGACATACTCTTCAAGACATTTCACACTGACATCATCGTCTAGTTTCTCCAAAAGCTTAACTTCCTATATTATAATCAAAAATGCTTCCTCTTTTTCTTAGTGTGGTTACCTATTGGAGAATATGCAGGCCTTTTTGACATTTTCAACAATATCTTTACACCACAGAACAAAGAATAAGCAAAGAAACACAAAAAGTAATACAGGTAGGTCTTGACCCCATGTAGGGCATCCTGGGGAACTGCCATTGGCACATTCAATCTGCACACATTTTATTATTCTTGGTGGGAGTCTGTACATGGAAGAATCTGGGCATACACAGAAAAGATATACCACAGCTGAAAGGGGCCCAGACGAGGGGGCTCGTGTCTGTAATTTAAGCACCTTGGAACGCTGAGGCAGGAGGTTTGCTTGAGCTACATATAGGTCAATGACTCAATTAGCACAACCTTTCATTTTAACCATCTCACAGCTACAGGTAAGCACTTCTTTGCTGACTTTTTCCACTGTTCAGGATCTTTACTGATTCCTATATGTGAGTTCAGATCCTTCAGAGGGATGCCAGCAATGTTAAGTCCACTTCACACAGAAATACTTGAATCCCCATACTTTACAAGGATTCATCCATGACAACTTTCAGAGTGAATATCAAGCCTTTGCCCAATGAAGAAACAGAAATGAACAGTGTCTAGATTATAGCCACTTCCAATAACATGGTTTTTGGGAAATGCACCCAACCGCCAAGATACTTAAGATATCCAGTGGACTGTAAACTACCATCAGTTTGCAGTGAAGACTATATTGGGTAATATAGTGCTAATACTGGAACTCATGAGATGGATATATTTCACTAGACTACATAAAGGCATGTTACTCTTTTTTCTGGACATATACTTGCTATAATAATTACTAAGTTGGAGTCTGCAGTGACAAGGCAATATTTGCTGGAAACAATATTTGGCATTTTCATGAAAGGTCTGCCATGCTGAAGATCTACTGTTTCACCCTTCAGTTTTCCTTCATCAACATCCACAAAGGCAAGTTTATCACTCATACCTTTTAATGAGATGCCCATAGCACAGGCCAGGCAAACGGATTCAGCTCCTAAAACGGAGCACTTATTGTGATGAATGGCCTCCTCTAAAGTAAAATTCTTACTAAATTCATGCTTGACAGTCACCATCTTGGAAACCTGAGTGAGATGCATGCTGCCTGGTGGGGACACAGAGCTATCTCCAGACAAAGAAAATTTCCTCCCCAAGTACCTATTCCTCAGCTGCTCTGTAGAACTCCTGCAGCTCAAGCTCTTAACTGCTTACTCAAGAAGTGGGGAAAAGCCAGGTTTGGTGGCTCAGCCTGTAATCCCGTGCTTTGGGAGGCTGAGGTGAGTAGATTGCCTGAGCCTGTGGGTTCGAGACCCGCCTGGGCAACTTGGCGAGACCTCATCTCTACAATAAATCAAAAATTAGCTAGACGTGGTAGCATGTGCCTATAGTTCCAGCTACTTGGAAGGCTGAGGTGGAAGGATCACCGGAGCCCAGCAGGTCAAGGTTGTGGTGGCCAGGAGCCTGCCACTGCACTCCAGTCTGGGTGACAGAGTGAGACTCCAACTCAAAGAAAAAAATAAAAGAAGTGGGAAAGAGAACGGAGGAAAGCAGCATAAAAGTTCAAGACCAGATCAGGTGCTGTGGCTCACACCTAAAATTCCAGCATTTTGGGAGGCCTAGGCAGGAGGATCACTTGAGTCCAGGAGTTAAATACCCGCGTGGGCAACACAGCAAGACCTTGTCTCTACAAAAAAAAAAAAATCATATTACTTGGACGTGGTGACACATGTCTGTGTTCCAGCTATTCAGGAGGCTAAAGTGGAAGGATCATCTGAGCTCAGGAGGTCGCAGCTATGTTGAGCTGTGATTGTGCTACTACACTCTGCCCTGGGCGACAGAGTGAGATTCTGACTTAAAAAAAAAAAAAAAAAAAAGTTCCTTGAAGTGAGAAATGTTTTGATCATTTAATGTTCCCTCACCCTCTTCTACTGCAGCTGTGTAAGGCCTCACCCAGCTTGTGCAAACTCCACATGTCTACCACCTTAAAATGTTATTTTTAATGAAATGAATATATAGTAATTTTTTATGTCATTAAGATACTTCTGAAGTAACAGACTATGATAATTAAGGCTAAAAGTAACTCTGGCTTTGTCTTTCTTTTTTTTTTGAGTCGGAGTCTCACGCTGTCACCCAAGCTGGAGTACAGTGGTATGCTCACAGCCACCGCAGCCTTGACCAGCTGGGCTCAGACGATCCTTCCATGTTGGTCTTCCAAGTAGCTGGAATCATAAGTACACCACCACGCCCAGCTAATGTGTTTTGATTTATTGTATAGATGATTTCTCACTATGTTGCCCAGGCTGGTCTCAAAACCGTGGGCTCGGGTAATCCTCTTGCCTCTGAACCCAGCCAGCTTTGCCTTACAAAGTGCCATGTTTTGTTACTTAAGCAAGCACTAAATCTTTGCAATCGTTTCTCTAATGGTGCTAAAATCACTGAAATTAAGTGTGACAGATGCAAAGAGAAATAAAATGATAAAGGTTCTAATCTCCACTCTAACACTTAGACTTTGAAGAAGTTTAACTCGGTAAGCTTCTTTTCAAAAATTATTATAATGTGATAATAAGACGTGCCCTAACTACTTTACATGGTGTTGCTGTGAGAATTAAAGCTGTAAGGAAAAAGTACAGGGAACTTTAAAAACATAATTATTGCAAGTATTTGTCAAAGTATGTTATTCAGCTGGTGACAAAACCAACTCCTCCACTTTGTCCTGATTCATGAAAATGACATATTAAAAGAAAAAAAGGAAAGAAGGGCATAGCAGATCTTTATTTCTAATGTCTTAAAGAAAAGAAGGTGATCGAGGGGGGCGGGGGATGCGGGGATGGAACCAAAAAACAAAAAAGAGAGAGAGAAAGTCATGGACTTTCTCATGAACATCTATTCAAAATCAAATTTCTGCTTCTTTCTCCAATCACATTTTCCTTTATAACAAAAAAGAACTGTGAAAAACAAAAAGGCTTAATCCATTAATTAAAATGATTTCTCAGACAGGCTTGGTGGCTCAGCCTGTAATCCCGCACATTTGGGAGGCTGAGGTGAGTGGATTGCCTGGGCCCGCGGGTTCGAGACTCGCCTGGGCAGCGAGACCTCATCTCTATAATAAATCAAAAAATCAGCCGGGCGTGGTAGTGCATGTCTGTAATTCTGGCTACTCAGATGGCTGAGCGGAAGGATGGCTGTGGCCCAGCAGGCGAGGATGCGGTGGCCGGAAGCGGCCACTGCACTCCAGTCTGGGTGACCGAGTGAGACTCCAACTCAAGAAAATAAATAAATAGAATAAAATAAAATAAAATGATTTCTCTAATATACATAAATTTTAGCTCATAACTCTTTTAACTACATTTTTTTAAATTGGCAACTCTTAATACATGTTTACTTCTCTGTATTATGTTAATAAGAAATTTGATGAATTCTTTTCACTTTTCAACCAGTTATTTGATATTTTGTACCAAGCTGCATTTTGTATGTAAATAAAATACTTCTATTTCAAAGTACTAGGACCTTTCCTAACCACATCAAGAAGAGTATAACACCTTGGCACTGGAGAAACAAAAGTATCATTTAGTCATTATAAAGAAGGGGTTAGCAAACTTTTTCTATAAAGATCCAGAGAGTGAAATATTTCAGGCTTTGTGAGCCATATATGGACCGTACGGCATGCTCTTCTTGTCCTCCCACAACTCTTCAACCTCAATTCGTTAAAAATGTAAAACATATTCTTAATTCTTAGCTTAAGGGTGCTATAAAACTATAAAGTATTAACAAAACATCACAGGAGTTCTAATTTCTAGAAAAAAAAATTATATACCTATAACAACCATACTGACAGGTAAAAAAAGGCAGAAAATAATCTAGATTATAACAATGTGAGTTTCACTATCCAAAATGAACTATAAGTAATTAACAAAACAATAAACCAAAATAACTCTAAATGTTCTAGATGTTTAACTTAGGCTTACCTTTGGCTGTGGCATGAACCACAGCAGCCTGAGAAATGACTTGATAAGTTTCAAAACCCAAATAAGACAAGACTGAGACTAACAGGCCTTTTTTCAAAGTTCCTGGGTTTCCCATTACCTGTGGAAACAATTATGGTCAGTCATAAAACTTAGAAAATCTGAAGGAACTGCTAACCCAAACAAAAATTACATCGATTTTCTTTCACACCCAAAGCAATCATTCATAATACTGGAAGCTAAAAAATCACTTCCTCAAATTTTTCAGTAAAATTATTACTATTATTACTTTTATTGTCAGGATTTCACCCTGTTGCCCAGGCAGGAATGCAGTGGCACAATCAAGGCTCACCATAGTCTCAACTTCCTGGGCTCAGGTGCTCCTTCTACCTCAGCCTCCTGGCTAATTTTTTTTTTTTTTTTGTACAGATGAGGTCTTGCTATGTTGTCCAGGTGGGTGTTGAACTTCTGGGCTCAAGCAATACTCCCACCTCAGCTTCCCCAATTGCTGAAACTAGTTATGAGCCACCACACCTGGTCAGTAAAACTATTTCATAGTGTATCTTACTAAAAAAAAGATACAGCCTAGGAGTGGTTGCCCATCTAAAAATCACACTCAAGCTGGTAAGGAAGATCTACAATTCATTTGCAAACACACGGATATTGCAGTCGTATGAAATAAAACATGAGACACCAACACATAATAAACAGCAATCTTACAAACAGACAAGATAAATATTAAATATAGAAATTACTACATATAAAAAATATACATGGCTTTAAGTGACGATAACTTCGAAAGCAACCTATGAAACCCAGTTTTTACATAAATGAATAAAATAGAGAGTATATCCAAACAGATCTGGAAATTCATTTTCATAATTATGTACACATTCTTGAGATCAATGGCAAAAGAGGCACATATGGATACCACTCCAGCAATTCTTCCCCTTCTCCACAATTTTTCTTTTTAACACAGCATCATTTTTTCCTTTTCTGTTGAATCATTCCCATCAACATAAAAACAAGCTACACTGTCTTTGTAAGCTGTAGTTTCTCCCATCTTATCTAAACATAAAAATAAAAGCTTCCTCTTGACTCCATGTCTCCTGACTCTTCTCAGCAAAAGTCTTCAAAAAAATGGTCTGTACTGTCTCTACTTCTTCCTTTCCCATTCTCTCTTGAACCCACACACATCATCCTTTTATCCTCACAACTCTAGATAGTATTCTAGTTAACAGAATAATATTCTAGTTAATAGAGTGCTGCCATTTCCTATGGTCAATTCTGAATTTTCTTCTTACATGATGTATCAATAGCATTTATAAATGGATGTTTAAATTCTTAAACGGTTTTATTGAGATATAATTCATATACAATAGCACATGTCTAAAGAAAATGGTGATAATCAGGAACAGGCACTGCAATGGGAACATGTGAGCCACAGTAAACTATGTGCATATTAAGGGAGGTAAAGGAAGACAAAGGTTTTTAAATAAGTAAGGAGTATTACATAATTGTTTTGAGAAAATTATCCTTGGTTACAAGGATCAATAACAAGGGTAGTGCTAGTCCACAGTGGAAGAGGCAGTAGCTGGGCAGATGCCCTTGCAGAAGTATTGTTTTATGTAAGGTTGCAATGTTTTTTGTGATAGGTTACGGTTTTTGCAGTCTTTTGTGATAGCTGTTGCTATCAGACATTCATGTATGAGAACCCTTCCTACATGGCATTCCCTGGCACTATTTGTCAGGGTTTTTTGGTTGTTGTTTTTTTTATGTTTTAACATGAGTGACTCCATTTTGATCCTGAAACTTATCCAAGGTTTGTCTCTTATGTTCATTAACTACTGTATTCCCAGAGCTTAGAACACACCCTGACACATAAGCCCTCAGAACAAATCTGCTCAAGAATAAATGTTCAGTGACGGGTATTTTATAATATAGCTTACAAATAGAAAAATGAAATCTCTCCTCAGTCACCCTGAAATAGTCCAAATCTCTGGAAACTCCCAGGGAATAAATATCTCCAACTCAACTTATTAACATCGTGCAAAGTGAAAGGTGTAGGAAAAAGCAAAACAAAATAATAACTCATGAGGAAAACTGATGAACTTTAAAATGGTAGCATAGTTCCAACTCCCAGAAAAATCAACCAACCTGGAGAAAAGATTTTCATTATTGTTTTTGACTTATTAGAGTTTTATTACTTCTGCATCTTTCTCGTCCCTCCTGATCTTGACTTTTTTCCTATCCTTTTCTACCCTGCTTCTCTAGTTTTCAGTTTTTTAACACAGTGATTATATGAAGCTCATGGGTTCTAAAGATACTCTACCATAAAAGATGACATTTCCCTAGCTGTGTGACTTGGGTACAGTTATTTAACCTCATTTCAGCTTCCTTAAAAAAAATTTTTTTAAATAGTTCTTACACAATAGAGGAGATATAAATATTAAATGAGGTACTGTTTAACACCGTGCTAATCCGTAACACGGTAAGCCTTCAATAAATGCTAGTTATTGCTATTTAAATTATGATCACTGCACTAAAACGGGACTTAAGTCGCTGCTCTAATTTGGAAACTTTAGGCTAACCAGTTTCATACTTAGTACTCCTCCCATCCCTCTGCCTGTATCATCTAAAATCTCCTTTGGCTATTAATATAAGCTTTTCCCAGAAAAGGGATTATGCCGTACTGTCTCTTTAACCCCCAGCCCCACAATAATTCTGAACAATTTTAACTGAGTAGGCAGTTAAAAGTGCATTTTAGAGTTTAAAACAATGAATTACCTATTTCAAGTAAACTATATCATATGCACCAGTGCCCACCCCCCCCCCATTCCCTTTCAAGAATAAACAGAGGCGCACGGACTAACAGAAGTGACAGAACTGAAAAACAAGACAACATCCCGTCATCCTTCCCTCACGTCACACGGATACACCAAGCAACTCAGAAATAATTATCCCAAAAAAGTTCCTCAGTAGTACGAAATCTCTGCTTTCGAATCGTAGGAATTTTCAAAATCATGCTACAAACTTTTCAAAGTTGGCTACATGGACAACCTCAAGTCGGTATCCCGTAACATGAAAACTAGCTCACCGTGCTCCAGGTTCTTTCCCGGGCCTGTTCTACAAGTTTTTAACGGGAAGGGCAGGCATGAGGCCGCCTGTCGGGGAGACGTTCCCCGTCCTCTGACCCCACCCGTTTTCACAGAAAAAAGCGCAGGCTTGCGAAAGGGAAAGGACCCGTCCGTGGCTGTCACAGGGAGCGCTCCACGCACCAAGGCCCGAGTTACTTCCTCCGCCCACCACATTCCCATCGGTGGCGCGGGGCGGCCAGGCCTCAAGAAGCGGAAGTCCGAACCCACCCGGTAGGGAGCAGCGAGAGCTGGACGGCGGGGGTACCTCAGAGCCGCGGAGTCGCCAGGGGCCGCAATGCCCGCGGCTGCCGGAAGTTCCCGCCAGGAGCCGAGCCCCCGTCCCAAGGGGAGGAAGCGCCACAGCCGAGCAGCCACCGCCATGACCTACAACTCGCCCGCTGACCCTTCACGCCTTCGAGTCTCCCGAGTGGCGAGCTGGGCCAAAAGAGCGTCAGTCATGCTCGAGAGAACCGCGCCCGCCCACTTCCTGGCCAGAGCCGCTTCCCGCCCCTCGGCTTCCGGTCTACGGGTTTAGGGGGCGGGGATTTATGGCCCTTCTGCGCCTGCGCCCAGTGGAATAGAACGCGCTATTTGGGCTCTCTACCTTTTTTCTGCTCCGTCGCTCCGTGGCTCTTTCATGGTTTTGGCACAGGGATAGATCACCTGAACAGAATTGAAAACTCAGAAATAGACCCAATAATATATGTATGCAATAAAAATAATAATCTGTCTATAATTATCTGCTGCCCTTTTCAAAAGTGGGGTGATTCTTGGCACTAGAGTATCCTTGGAAATAAATGCTTGGAAGAATTTAATTGTCCCACGTAAGGAAAGGGAGAGACCGAGAGACTGGGGGATTGTTCCGGGAGAGGAGGAGAGAAGCCAGAAAAGAGGAGCAAATACTGTGACGCGAAAGCAGGTCTTGGAAAGACTAGGCGGGGATGATATTGATGCCATTGTTTGCTAGGAAATGTGTAATTAAAAACCTCTGGTCTCCCCTAAAAATCTCCAGTAAGATCAGTGATTCTCACCGAAGTGAAATTTTTTTGGAGGGAATGAATAGTTTTTAAATCCTTCTTCAGGACTGATGTGGGTGAAAATAAACCAGGCCTGCAAATGGAGTACACAAAAAATATGGGCAATAAGGGAGGGTAGTAATAGTTTTTAAACATTAGGCTGCATTTCTGTATACTTTTAATACTACATAGTGAATTAACGCACACTTTTATTTTATCTTCCCAGCTACCTTGTGAAATAATTGATATCCCAGGTTTACAAATGAGGGAACTGAAGTCAAAGAGATTTATTAACTTATCAAGTACACACAGATAATAGGTATTGTTAGAAGACTGGGATCCACATCTTCTGACTCCAAGTCCAGTGCTTCTTGTGCTATATAATTGCTGCCTTCACTATTTCCCATTAAGTCTGCTATATTTGTTTAGGATTACATCAGTGGTATTTATATTTTCTCTGTTATTTTGTGTTTTTAAAACATATTTTAAAAAATATTAGCCAGGTGAGGTGGCTCAAACCTCCAATGCCAGCACTTGGCGAGGTCAAGGTGGGGGGATTGCTTGAGGTCAGAAGTTTGAGACCAGCCTGGGCAACATAGCAATACCCAGTATCTACAAAAATAAAAACAGAGTGGGAGGACATCCTGGATTTTCCTAGAGCTGGGAGTTGATCTATTCACACACCATGAAACAGTGGGCCATAGCTGACATGCAGTTTACATTTAGCGTGCAGGAAACGGTATCTTTTCCTCCCTCCTCTCAGGGTTGTCTTAAGATTAAAATCCAGTAACTTCCTTGAAATAGCTTGGAGAAGTCTGGATCACTCTCTGGGGAATGGGCCCCCTGAGACCCCATCCTTACCACTACACAATGTGTCCATGTAATGAATACACATGTGTACCCCTGGATCTAAAATAAAAATTTTAAAGTAAGGTACTATTACAGAAAAATTATCCAAGCGTGGTAATGTGCACCTGCAGTCCCAGCTACTCAGGAGGCTGAAATGAGAGAATCGCTTGAGCCCAGGAATCTGAGGCTGCAGTGAGCTATGATCGCCCCTCAGCCCTCCAGCTGGGCAGCAGAGCAAGACCCTGTCTCAAATAGATAGATAAATTCCTTCCCCAATTTCTTCTAAACCCTAGGTTTTTTTTCTAGAAAGAATCACTTTTACCTTATTTTATGCATTTCTACTGATGACTGCCTCAATATTGCTAAATAATATATTTATATCACTGGATATCATGATACAACTGAAAATAAGTTTCTGATACCTCTGCTAGAGTGATTTTTTAAAAATGTTTTTCATTTTGAAAAAACGTAGATCCTGAGAATTTGCAGAAACTTTCACATACTCTTCACCTAGATTCAGTCATTGTTATCATTTTCTCACATGTGCTTTATCTATCTTTCTTTGAGTATATTATATATAACATGCATATTATGTTCCTATTATTATTTTCTGTTATTAAACCTTTTGAGAGTAGATTACAGACATCCTGACTCTTGACTCTTAGAAGCAAAGGCATTCTCCTACAGTGTCAGTATAGTTATTAAGTTCAGAAAATTGAAATGGACATAATACCATTATTTAATATATACCTTTTATTGATTTCTCAATGTTGTCCTTTATACCAACATTACTTCTTCAATTTGAGATCATTCTGACGATATGTTGTATTCGTCATGTCCTTTAGCTCCTTTAAATCTGTAATATTTCCTCAGTCTTCGTCTTTCCTGACATCAATATTTTAAAAATAGGTTTGTAGCAGGGTTTATAAAGTTGGCACTATTGAAATTTTGGACTGGATAATTTTTTGTTGTGGGAGGCTGTACTGTGATTTGTAGGATGTCTAGCAGCATCTCTGGCCTTCACCAATTAAACACCAATCTCACATCCACCCAATTGTGACAACCAAAAATATTTCCATCACACCCAAATGTTTCTGGGAGTAGAGTTGCCAGATTTAACAATTATAAATAGAGGACACAGTAAAATTTGAATTTTAGATAAACAATGAATAATTTTTAGTATAATATATTCCACAGAACCTATTCATACTGAAAAATTATTTGTTGCTTCTCGGAAATTCCAATTTAATTGATCATTGTATAATTTGTCTGGCAACCCCACCTGGGTTGCCATAGTTGAAAATCAACAGTTTATGACATGTTCTTCAATTTGGGTTTGGTTGATTGTTTCCTCATGATTCCTGTGATTCAATCTAGGTCATGCATTTTTGGCAGAAACACTAAGTGACAAATCCTCTCCTTTACTCCACATCATGAGGTTTCTGATGTGATTTTGTCCCATGATTGGTGAAATGGGATCTCTTTAAAAGATAGCTTAGAACACTTTATTCCCCTGCTTTAAATCCTTTCTAGATTCAAATTCATTCTCATAGTCTCTCTCTCCCTCTCTCTCCCTCTCTCCACTCCTCCTCCCCCCATCCCCATCCCCATCCCTATCCCTATCCCATCTCTATCTCAGGAAGTTTCAGCTACATTATCTTTTTTCTTGCTCCAATAATCCCCAGGTCTCCCTACATGATATGCTATCAGGAATACTTCCCATTCTGCTACCTGGATACCCTCTTCCCCACATACTCCACACCACTATTCCTTACTTGGCTAATTTCTATTTGTCTTTCAGCTCTCAGCCTAAGTGTCATTTTCTCAGAGAAACATCCCTCAGTTCTTCCTAATATACTTTCATTTTCTTTATTGTCTTAAGCACATTTTATGCTTTCATTTTTTGATTATTTGTTAAGTTAGAGTATATGTTAAAGGAAGAGTTGATAAGAATTGGTGATTGGGAGGAGCACATTGGGAGGCTGAGGTGAGAGGTATGCTTGAGCCCAGGAGTTCAAGATAAGCCTAGACAACATAGTGAGACCTCATTTCCATAAAATAAAATAAAACAAAGAAGAAAACTGGTAATGCACAACAGAAAACTGAAACAAGTTGGAATCTGGAGTTACTGATGAAAGGTATAGAAGTTTGGTGACCTTAAGTATATAGATGGAATTCAAAGTTGTAAAGCTAGATGAGGTACAAATGATACAAATGAAGATAGAAAAAAGCAAAGTCCAAGGAAAAAAAAAGCCTTGGGATGCTCCAGTGTTTAAAAACTGGAGTATGAGGAACAAAAAGCAAAGAAAGGCCAGGCGCAGTGGCTAACACCTATAATTCTATCACTTTTGGAGTCCAAAGCAAGAGGATTGCCTGAGTCCAAGGGTTTGAGATCAACCTGGACAACTTGGCAAGACCTCGTTTCTACAATAAATCAAAAAATTAGCTGGGCATGGTGGTGTGCACTTGTAGTTCCAGCCACTTGGAAGACTGAGACAGAAGGATTGCCTGAGCCCAGCAGGTTGAGGCTGCGGTGGCCATGCCACTGCACTCCAGCCTGAGCAACAGAGTGAGAGCCAAAAAGACAAACAAAAAAGAAAAAGCATAGAAGATAAGAAACAGCCCATGAGGTTTAAGAACACCTAGGAGAGTATTTTGTGACTATCTCGTTCATTTTAATGAAGATTTAACTCTCCACCAGGTATTGAATCCCATACCTGTTTATTTGTTTCTATTTCTAGATCCTTGTTATGCCTGGTTCCTAATTCAACACATAGTAAGTTATTGGGTAAATCAATAAGAACAGAAGTAGGATGGAATTTAGGCTCTGCTTGAGAAATGAATAAGTACATTGAATAACTCTGGCATTATGTATTCAAGTGATTAGATTCTTTTTTGGACACTAAAGGTACAAAACCATTCCCTTGTCTCTATTTTTCTTATTTTAGTGGATAGAGATGTTTTGAAGATTAGGTATGGATACTCTGTACTCTGGAAATTTTTGAAACCTTGCAATTGAATTAGTTGTGCCTGAGGACCTTCATGTAAATATAAAAACAGAATCAAAGGTAAAACCAACAACCTTTACTAAAAACAAAAAAAAAAATCGCCTCTTCCATTTCCCCACTCCAGCCACAAAGGATTAGCTTCTGTACTTGCCATTTACTGCATCTGTTCTTGCCTTTGCCTCTGCTATCATTTCTCTGCCCCTAGATCTAGATCTTTGCACGACTGTCTCCCTCCTAGTTTTCTTTTTTCTTCCTTCTTTCCTTCCTTCCTTTCTTTTATTTATTTATTTTTTTGAGTCAGAGTCTTACTTGGTAGCCCAGGCTGGGATGCAGTGGCATGATCCCAGCTCATCACAGCCTCAACCTCCTGGGCTCAGGTGATCCTTCCCCCTCAGCCTTTTGAGTAGCTTGGACTATAGGCGTATGTCACCACACTCAGTTAATTTTTTTAAAAACTTTTTGTAGAGATGAGGTCTTCTTATGTTGCCCAGGTGGGTCTGGAACTCCAGGACTCAAGCAGTCCTTCCACCTTGGTCTCCTAAAGTGTTGGAATTTTAGGCATAAGCCAGAGAAA